TTGTCAAAATTATGGTCCCCTTTGGATTTCTGTTATGATACGGCACCTTCTATTTAGGGTATCCCAGAAAGAGACCATAGTCTTGACACCATCGACAACCATCCATATGTAGTGCACGAGGCATTAACAGGACTGGCGAGAAAATTGTCATTTAGCAAGATATTGCGGGGTTTCGGGTTCATGGTCTAGACTTTGAGAGGAGGAGCTTGGAAGAGGACTGGAGATTTTGCGAACCCTGACATGATACTGTAGGGATCTTAAAAACACCTACCTAGACCCTACAACTACAACGTAGTACCTTTTTTGGTTGTCCTACCAAAAGTTCATACCAAGCCCAATTCCCATAACCCCTTCCCAGTTTCCGTTCAAGGTTCCTTGTTTGTCCATCAGATTCTGCCTTCGTCCGATCAAATACTTACTTCTGCTATATCCATACCACGTGGTACCCCCAACCCATCCCCACCTACGGTTGTCCTCGAATTAACCTCAAGTAACCTTACGCAAGTGTTTGCGGGGCTAGTATAGAAGGGCGTTCAGTTAACCCACGGTTAAAAAGCAAATATGAGCCCTAAACCTGTGAGAGCACAGCACACCCTAAATCCCTAAACCACCCTTGGTTCTCAAGATGGCAGCAGAAACACGAGCCCAGCGGGTCTCAGTACCTGGTAATCATGCTGTTCCGGCACTAGGTTCAGGGTTTAGGAGTTTAGGGTCCAGAACTCCAATAAGGATCCAGTACACCATGATGGTATGTCTTGGCTCTTATAATAGTACGGGTCAATTAGGTTTTGGGAAGTATGAACCATTAACCCCTAACTAAACCTTACACGATAGCAGTAAACTGAGTAAACTTTGACCCCTTCGGGTTCCTTTTTACACAAATCCTGGGTATTCCCCTGTTAGGCATTTGGCTCCCCAATCTAGCATTGAACCCCATATGTACTTTTCTGTAAACTCCTCAAGGGGGGATATAGGGGACTGTTATATGGGATGCTGTACCTTTGTAGGGTTTAGGGTTTAGGGCCCAAATCTTAAACCCTGAGCCCTAAATCCTAAACTCTAAGCCCTAAACCCTGGCATCTTCGCATAGGCGCCTCACAGCTCCAAGGTCAGGGTAACTGCGCTAATCCCCAGGTCTCTCGAGTCATTGTCTGGTATAGGGTCTAATATCTGTTATATAAACCCTAAACCTTATACCCTAAACCCTAAGCCCGTGTTATACTAAAAGGCAATACAGACCCCAAACCTGCACCCAACTCAACTCCAGAGCTTAGAGTTTCAGAGTTTAGGATTTAGGGTTTAAGATTCATTTAGGGTTTAGGGCTAAATACTGGTATAACCATGAATGTCAACCTGACTTGAAAGAAACTTCAGCTGGATCCCAAACACTCCAAATCCTGACACCCCAGCGCTGACGCCTTTTCATGGGCGGTACTTCTACAAAATAAGCTTTAGGGTTTCAGGTTTTTGGTGTGTTTGGGGGGATACTTCCACAAAATAGGCTTTGGGGTTTCAGGGTTTGGGGTGTCTAATCTAAAGTGCTGGAACATGCTATGAACCCTGGTTTTGACAACTCCCACCCCAAAGGGGTCCTAGTACCTTAAACCCTAAACCCTTACTTTACCAGAATCTGACTCCACCCATAACCACCAAACTCGACTCCTTGGATCTTTCACCCCCTCGCAAATGCAAAAGCAAGCCTAAACCCATACAAGATTTACATTAGCCTCATGCGAGGGCACGCATCTGGTGTCTCCCCGCCTGAGAGTTCCCTGCTTGGAGGGTCAGG